TCTAGAAAATCCAACAAACAACTGCCCGAAAATTGCAACCCAGACAATTTTAATAATTTCTTTTTGGAATATGCCGATAAGCTAGTGCAAAAGATAACTCCAGAGGGCAACACATATAAGAATTTTATCCAAACCACAAAATCAGTTCCGTCCCAATCGATGTTCTTCCATCCAATGTTAGAAGACGATGTACGTATTATAATAAACAAACTAAAAAATAAATCAACCGAAGATATATTTAATATCAGCGTTAAAATTCTAAAAATATGTAATGCGTCAATTGTCAAACCACTAACAGAAATTATCAATGCTTGTCTATTGCAAGGACATTTTCCTTCAAAGCTAAAAACAGCAAAAATAATACCAATATATAAAAAAGGAAATATTAATGAACTAAAAAACTACAGACAAATATCTATTCTGCCAGCCTTTTCTAAAGTCTTTGAAACGGTTATATCAAATCAACTCCTTAAATTCTTTGAAAAACATGGCATTTTTACATCAGAACAATATGGCTTCCGAAAAGGATTAAGCACCATTGATGCTGTACTATCTCTCGTTAACTATGTGAAACAAAGTTTTGAAAAGAAGCAAGCATGCTGCGCAATTTTTACTGACCTAACGTCTGCATTTGATTGTGTGGACCATAACATTTTATTATACAAGCTAGAATACTATGGTGTGAAAGGAAAATGTATAGAAATGCTTACTTCATATCTATCAGAACGCACTCAGCATGTGGTTATAAACGATAAGGCTAGTCAAGAAGGCAAAATATTACGAGGAGTCCCTCAGGGATCAATACTTGGTCCTATTTTGTTCCTTGTCTACATCAACGACCTAGCAATCAATATGTCACAAACAAATCATACAGTGATGTATGCAGATGACACTTCGTTCTGTGTCAGTGTGGACAAGGAACAAAATACCGACCAGGTATCTCAAAATATAATAGAATCGGCGGGAATTTGGTTTGCAGCAAATAAATTCGTTCTAAACAAAAACAAAACAGACATCATGGAATTTCAAAATTGTAATGTGAAAGCAGATAACGAAATAAAATTTCTTGGACTCTACTTAGATAATAGACTCTCCTGGAATGCACATATTGAACATATATGTAATAAGTTATCTTGTGCCGTTTATGCGATACGAAAAATTAAAGTAACAATAAGTGAAAAAGCTGCCCTTCTAACTTACTACGCACTGTTTCACAGTATTCTTAATTATGGAGTCGTTATCTGGGGTGACGCAGCCTTTACATGTCTACAAAAAGCTTTTGTCCTACAAAAGGCAGCCATTAGGGCAATAGCCTCGGCAAACTATAATGCAACCTGCAAAAACCTCTTTACAAAATATAAAATCATGACACTTTACTCCATGATAGTTTTTGAAAAACTAATCTGCGTAAAAACAAAACATCTCTGCATATCCAGTGATGTCTGAAAAGCATAGATATAGCACGCGCCGCAATCAAGATCTTTTTATACCCAAAGTAAGACTGAAAAAAACCGAAAACATCGGTTTACGTTTCTACAACGCGCTCCCCCTTAGTATAAGAGATGCTGATATTCGGGTGTTCAAAAATACAGTCAAAGATATTCTAAAAAAAAACAGTTTATACGATCTCGATGCATTTTATAACATCGATTTTAATTTGTAGGCATGATTTAACTATATTGTTCTGTATCTATTATTTGTGTGTTATTAATTTAGTGTGACAAGTCGAAATTTTGTAGAAAATCTCCGACAAATAAACTTATTATTATGTTAAGACCCACCACTGACCCGGAAATGACCGGCATTCAGGCAAGACTTCTATCATTACGGGTACTAAGACCAAGTAATGATATGCATTGATTAGATTAACAGAACAACTTTCGAGATTCTAGAATTACAGCATACAAATTAGTCTGCTATTATTCTCTAATCTCACCCCATCCCCAAAAGTCTAGCCTAACTACCGACCATTTATCCGCGCATCACATGAAAAGTGACCTACACTACTCTGACCTACTGGTGCTAATCTAATCTGACTGACATGATCAGACTGTTCAAGAAACTTACGAACAATATGACATGTTCCTAACAAAACAGCTTTTTGAATTTTGACAATTATTGAATCATTCAAATGCAAAGACTTTAAATTCTCAACTAAGCTATTTGGAACTACACCTACATTAGAGATAACTAGGGGTAGAATTGAAATTTTATTATTAAGACCCACCACTGACCCGGAAATGACCGGCATTCAGGCAAGACTTCTATCATTACGGGTACTAAGACCAAGTAATGATATGCATTGATTAGATTAACAGAACAACTTTCGAGATTCTAGAATTACAGCATACAAATTAGTCTGCTATTATTCTCTAATCTCACCCCATCCCCAAAAGTCCAGCGTAACTACCGACCATTTATCCGCGCATCACATGAAAAGTGACCTACACTACTCTGACCTACTGGTGCTAATCTAATCTGACTGACATGATCAGACTGTTCAAGAAACTTACGAACAATATGACATGTTCCTAACAAAACAGCTTTTTGAATTTTGACAATTATTGAATCATTCAAATGCAAAGACTTTAAATTCTCAATTAAGCTATTTGGAACTACACCTACATTAGAGATAACTAGGGGTAGAATTGAAATTTTTTTAAGATTCAACATGGATTTCATTTCTATCGATAATTAATTGTAGATATTTTGAAATCTTGGTGTCGTATGTTTGAATAATGTTGTTTGTGTTAGGAATAGCAATGTCAATGAGAATGGCTTCGTTCGTGTGTTTTTTGATAAGTATGATGTCTGGTCTGTTAGCTGTAATGTTTAAGTCTGTAAGTATTGTGCGATCCCAGTATAATTTGTATTTGTTATTTTCAAGGAATGGAGACGGAATGTAAGTGTAATAGGGTGTCGTATCTTCGATTAAGTTCATAAGTGTTGCTAATTCTTTGTGAATGATTTTGGCTGCGTTGTCGTGTCTAGCTTTGTAATCAGTTTGTGCTAGGATGCTGCAAGAAGAGATTATGTGCTGGATCGTTTCAGGTTTTGCTTTGCATAGGCGACAGCAGTCGTTTTTTATGTTCGGATCTTTGATGATGTATTTTCTATAATTCTTGGTATTGATTACTTGGTCTTGAATAGCAAACACAAATCCTTCTGTTTCGGCATACAAACTTGATTTTTTTAACCAAATCAATGACATCTTCTTATTGACATGATTTTCTTCTAAGTCTTTGTAGAATTTTCCATGTAGTTGTTTTTGTTTTAGCCCACTTATTATTTTATCTATTGTGTGGGGGGTGTGGATTTCTTCGGTGTTCGACAGATTTAAGGGTGTGTGGTTCAAATCTGCTCTTGTGATGGTGCGAAACATATCATTTCTTTCCGCTCGTTTCAAGAAATACTTCTTCAAATCTGAGATTTGTCTCTGATATAAGTTTTCTAAGTTCTGGAAACCCCTTCCTCCATTCTGTCTTGGTAATGAGAATCTTTCAATCGACGATTTTGGGTGATGCCTTCTATACTGTGTGAAGATTTTCCTTGTTGCGATGTTTAAATTTTCAATTATTATTATTATTATTATTAAGTATATTATTAAATTGTTCAAAATTAAGTGATCGACAAAAATTCTGAAAATTTTGTAAAATATTTGAGGGAGGCAGAGGTACATCACTTCTGAAGTGGGTTAAATTGAAATCACCAATGAAAATAACAGCCTTAGTCAGGAAGAAGGATTCAAGGACTTCCAAAAGTACTATAAAATCACTGTTAGACAAATTAGGCGGGATATATATTGCAGCAATGTAGAAGGTAAAATTATCCAGCCAGCATTTACACATAACTATATCAGCAGATGGCACAAGGTCCGTTATAAATGATACATCCAAGGTATCGAAATTAATTGACTGCTTTATAGCTAATAAAACACCACCCCCTGGAGACTGGCCCAAAATGAAATATTTTCTATCACATCTTATAACATTGTAACTTGAAGAAAACAGTTCCGAGTTGTAAATTGAATCTTTCAACCATGTTTCAGTTATAATAACTATGTCATAAAATTCATCTAAAGTAGATATACTAGTGTAGAAAGGATCGTAAGCCACGGACATTCTGATAATATAGATGAAAATGAGTTAGTTTTTTGCGTGTCTGGTATCATTATTATTTTTAAGAATAATTTGAGCTAAATTATTACGATAAGTTAGAGCCAGATTCTTTTCACCTCGAGATTTCCTACCGTTGAATTGACCAATAACAGAACTATTCCATTTTCTCTACAAAATTGTTAGATCCGGGCGAAAGTTAGTTTGTTTATTTGGATTGTTTTTATTATATATAGATTTATAGATCTGCAAGAATGCTTACAAAATTGTTTTAAAGTGGTTTGAACAAAACCTCCCTCGCCCCTGAAGCACATTCAATCAACATGAGTTGAGTTTCTTAAATGAATTACAAAATTTAACTCTCCAATTTAATTTTTTCTATCATAATCCCTGTAGATTAAAATAAAAATAAGAATGGGTTATTAATTATTAAAGCACAAGTAAAGGAGCATTATCTGCATATGTTTCAAGTGAGCCTTAACAAATTTTGTGCCGACATCAACTTTAAGTATAGACAAATTTATTATTTTTAACGTAGGTACAGTGTAACACTAAAATAACCACTGCACTGAGTTATCAGAATTTTAGAAAAAATATGAGTTAAGCCTATGGTAGTAGAATGATTTTTTTTTATTGTGTCCGAAAAAGGCTCATTTTACGGATTTACATGTGTCCGTAAAATAGCTATTTTAGGGAGTGTATTTACTAAAAAAGAAATTGTGCGACACCCAACAAAATATACCTAACACAAATATAAGTACAAAAATATTGTTACCAGGACAAAATAAATGCAATAAAGAAAATAATATACAACTCAAATGACAAATACATATTTTGTTTGAGTTATTTCAAGAAGTCTCAATTTAACTGAAGTCGAAAGCTTACCTGTCAAACTCACAAGCAAATGGTAATCTGGAATTACTTCTAGCTGTTGCACGGCCTTTTTACTAAACGATTTGTTATACCTCATCAACTGCACTTCACATTTGTCGTCGTTTTTAACTAAACTATACATAAACAAATGCCCCTGGCGAGTACCCACGAGAAGATTATCATCTGGAACAACCACAAGTAAATTTATTTACAATAACCTGAAAAATTACACAAACCGTATGCTGTAATTGCCTCTATTTGGAATGTTAATTTTAGAAGAGAGTGGACTTGATAGGCTTCGTGCATTTTTGAAATATAATTGAATTAAACGATGGGAGTTGTATGTTACCGAGAATTGTCAAAGTTTGACACATAAATATAACCTCCAAATCGAAATTTTTATTGCAGTATTTAATTCCACTTAAATCAATTCTAGATGCAGAAATAAGACGATTTTATGGTAATAGTCGGTATGCAATTAAGTACAATTATTGTTGGTGTGATATAAAAATAAAAAATTCAAATTATCCGTTTGGTGATTTTACTTATGTTGGCATTGCTGATTTGTTGTCAGATTGAATACCAACATTCCAAAAACATTTCCTTCTCTGCAGAGTGGTTGAAACAGTAGGAGCCATGGTAGGTTATTTAAAAATATTTTAATCATCCTTTGCTTATTTGATGCAATTTTTACTGTAGATTATTGATTTCATGTTTATCATTATATTCTTTTTGTATTTTTGCAGTCTGCCCACAAGACATTTATTATCAAGCGGAAGCTTGCAAAGAAACTCAAGCAAAATAGGCCGATCCCCCAATGGGTCCGCATGCGAACAGGAAACACAATTCGGTAAGAAATTGAGTATTTTTATTACAAAGTATCTGTTTATGTGTAGTGTTTCATATTTTAATATTGATTCACATTGTTAAAAGTTTAGGTTAAGTTGTCAAATCAGCGCGTTTAGTTTTATTTAACTAATTACCACTTTTACTTCTGTTAAATATTGTTAAAATAACACTTTCATTGTAAAAAATTAGTATTACAAGACTATTTAGTGCTGAAGACTCATATAATGTTTTCTGTTTTAACACGAACTTGATCATAAGGCCACATTAAAAACGTTAATACTTGTATTATTATTTAAAATTGAATTTTCCATGTGAATGTATTAAATGTGTTAATGTTTAATTGCTTTACTTTGTTTTTGGTAAGTTGCTCTAGCTAATCTGATTTTTTTCCTTTTCAGTTACAATGCGAAGCGGCGTCACTGGCGTAGAACAAAACTAAAGTTGTAAAGCTTTTTGACATCCATTACATATTAAATAAAAGTTTGTCATATTATTTTGTCGTTTCTAGTAATAATTTTGTGTCCCTTTTACAGTAGATACTCACAATATGTATACATACATGTCGAACTAGTGTGATGAAAAATTCAGAGAGTCTCAAGTATTGTAACATTGAATCACTTTTTTAATAGGAGACATTTAACAAAATGATAATGCCAACAGTTTTGAAATTGAAAGAAAAGAATGAAATGTAATTAAGGGTGTAAAATACTAAGAATAGGGGGTTGGTATTTGTATAAAGTGCTCTGGTGTTCCTCAATGTGTAAAGTTGTATTTTATTTCATTTATTTAAATATTCGTGCAAATGTTAAAAGAACCACAATTTATTCTTACGCAAAAAATCATGAATCAAGTCGTCTGTATTTTCCCAGTTAACAATATCCCTAAAAGCTTACCCAAACAATAAAAACCGTATTTACCACAGTTACCAAGTAAATAAATATAAACAATTTTATTGTAAGACTGAAGTTTGTAATCGTCACTTTCAACCTGAAAAAGATTTTGCCTACACCACAATGACGAAACAAAAGGTATCAAAACACGTTCCTAATTTAGAACAATTTATGTAATTACGAACTACAGACAATCAGATGTTTCAATTTATACATCATATCCCACAATATGACGTTTACCAATACATTCACCAACATAAAACCAGCACAGAACTTCAATTGTAACCAACGAGTTCAACCAAGCTTCTCTCACTGGAACCTCCTTCCAACGAGCTGTTCTAGCTGCAGCCAACAACCTGCTAATGCCAGCACGAATTTCTGGAATATCAGCCAAAGTTGGGGGCGCTAATTCTACTTTCGCGTACTTCCAGAAGGTCTGCAATTTTGGACTGGCCTGCGCAGCAAGCCCTAAAAAATACATTATAGGGTTATATTACGTAATATAATTTTCAGCCTAAGCTTGAACCAAAAACTGCTTTGGAGCAACTTACTGTTGGCTAAAGCAGGCGCTTGAGCTATCAGTTTGGACATTCTGACCTGCTTTTTGGTCCAAGATTCCGGAAATTTTAAGAAAATTGGGGACTGTTAGAATCACTTTTGGCAGGTGACAGTTCAAAATTACAGCGCCATCTACGTGGTTATGAAGTTTTTGACAGAATGACAGATTATGTGACTTTGATAGTTTGACATTTTGTCTTTGACAGTTGATTTTTACTGCGTTCATAGCAGTTAACGTTTTTAATTCGTACCAAGCATTCCAGGTAATTATCACCGACTGAAAGGTACATTTTTATTAATCTTCATTTATGTACTGCATAATTGTATTATCATAGCCGTTTGTGCAATTTAGAAAACTAACCTCACTTTTATCGATTTGTACCGGTTTCCATCGTGTACACCGACCCGTCGCCTCTTCCCCTCCCGAATCCATTAATTACGTGCCCTTGAAATTAGTTACGAGTATTGCAAGTGATAAACAGTATCAGTTCTGCTTAGTCACTCACCAAGTTAAGTAACTTCTTTTCTAGGACAAAATGCCGACCAAAGCCGTGTGCGTTCTCAATGGTGAAGTCAAAGGAACAATTTTCTTCACTCAAAACGACTGCAAAGCTCCGGTTCATGTGACTGGTGAAGTTACAGGCTTGACCCAAGGTTCGCATGGGTTCCACATCCACGAATTTGGTGATAATACCAATGGGTGCATTTCGGCGGGAGCTCATTTTAACCCGCATGGTAAAGATCATGGTGGCCCTACACACGACGTTCGCCATGTAGGCGACTTGGGTAATGTGGAAGCAGGGGCTAATGGTGTAGCAAAGGTTGATATTACTGATAAGCTGATTTCGTTGGACGGAGAGCACAGCATCATTGGGCGTACTTTGGTGGTGCACGCTGATCCAGATGATTTGGGCCAAGGAGGACATGAATTGAGCAAGACCACTGGGAACGCTGGAGCTCGTTTGGCTTGCGGTGTTGTGGGAATTACCAAGGCTTAGGGCGTTGAGTTTTGCTTTTTTTTCTTTTAATGTTGATGTAATCAATATCTCAGTGGGGTGAAGTGGCGAATTTTTGTTTTTCTTTTTTTACAAAAGTATGTTTAGGTTTCTTATTGTGTCATTTATTTTAGGAGTAAATAGATACAGATAAAACACAGGTGTTATGTAATAGGAACATGTTGAAATAAAAAATCAATTATAAATATTGTAGCCTATATTTTTTATTGTTGCCACAATGTAATAAAATGTGCAAAGAACATAAATGGTTTATTATAATGCGTAAACTTCGCTTTATTGTGTGGTAATTTTAGTTGAAAATTTATGAATATTGCATTGGAACTAAGGAACGCTTACAAGCTTATAACCTAGTAGACGTTTAAATTTGAATTTTTATTACTGTATTATTTTCCTGTGGTTTTGAATACGAAAATGTAAATTTCCTGTTTTATATATTTTTATCTGTTGGAATTTTTTTAAAGGTAATTTCTATTTACCGATTTTATCTAAACTTTAATGTACTCCAAGGTTACCTTAAATTTAACAAAACTCCAATCACAACTGATGAACTGACGTAGTCATGCACACATCCCCTTCAAACACTTGAAGTTATCTTAATATTTTGCAGCATAGATCTGACTTGAAACCAGGGGCGGCTCATGACTTGAAAAATTGATGAGGCACAGCACAAAACGCTCTAAAATATAAATAAATCAAGATTACTTAAATATTTTCTATTTAGTCAAATAAACAAATTTGTAAACTCATTTAACTGTCCACAAAGAACCAACGTGAAGGTGTAAGGAGGTCTTGCAAGGAAAGGATGAGAATGACAGGACAAAAGGAAAGGGAAGCGTGGTCAGAAAAAACTAATATAACTTCTAACAAAAAACAAAATTAAAATAAACTTTAAAGGAAACATATCGAAAAAGATCAAATACAACATAAAATAAAGCTAATTTTATTTATAACAAAAAACAAAATGAAAAAAATATAAAATATAAACACGGATTTATTTTAAATTTTTTTTATGGATCAATTAACGATTTACTCAAATCAGGAACCGGCGGTTTTAATTCCTTAACTACATACAATTTATCATCATATGTGAAAGTAGAAAAAACAGAACTGCCATTGTCATTTAACGTTAGTAGAGAAAAATTCCGATTTACTCGTAATCTTAAATAACGATTACCGAAATCAAATTATGACAAGCACAAAGCACTAACGCGACCCACGCAAACGTAGGCACTTTTAAGACAAAATTCTGTTACCGAAATTTTGAATCAATTTATACACACACAGATTTGTGGCAAAACAATCAACGGCCTAATTTTGAATACTCCTGCGAATGCAGACTGCATTGCAATCGCACGTTCCCCGCGCGCTAATATTATAGTTGTCCATCTCTTTTGCAAGCACGGAAATGAGGCTAGCCTCAATTTTGTCTTTTTTCAACTCATACCGCTTATAAGTGTATTGCAGGTTGCTTGCCTATTAACGACATGATTTCTATATATGCTGTAGAGGCAAGCTTCGAGTCGGCCTCATTCGCGTCACAAAATACATGTTGTGCCGAGTGTTTAAGCGCGCTGTTTAATTAAGGGAGCAACGAGTACCTACCGAGATAAAAATAAGAATATAATTTTCTATATTTATTTTTAAAATTTTAGAAAAAAGACACAAATTATTGGCCGAAATGTGTCCGTATAAAATAAAAAAAATCCTAATAAGGCGTAAAATTCATTGGTGAGGCACTGCCTCACCTGCCTCATAGGACAAGCCGCCCCTGCTTGAAACGTGCAACTTCGTTTTTTTTTTATTGAAATCAAGTTTATTTTTAAGTATTTTAAACGGTACAGTTTTGTTATTTACAACCTGCATTAAGAAAAACATTATTTGAAATTGTTTATTAACATATTAGTTACAAAACATCTGCAAACGATGTTAACCGTATATCCTTAGCATACTAGTTAGAAAACATCTAAAAACGAATACATTTACAATAATGAACCAAAAAGGTAACTGTAGACATCACTGCCTCGAGTAATTCGCATTAATATAATGGAACAAAACAACCAACAAGAAGAGGACCACTCCAAGTGCATTTGAAAGAATAGCCAAATGTACGTCGGTAACCATTTTCTAGAACAAAGAGAAATATACTTTATTCAAGTAAACATTTGAAATACCCTCAACAAAAAGGTGTCGTTACAAACTGGTGTTATTTGTAATCTGTGTCAATGTCCACCAATAAATTTCTGTTAATTTTTGCACCAAAATAACTGCCATTGTGCTTAATAGATCAAATTACTCTCAATTTAAATTTAATTTTATTAACAACTCCTACAATTTTATGGGCTATTACAGAAAACGATCAACCGTTAGCAAAATCAACACCAGATGTCGTCATCGCATTTGTTTTTCACTCAAGTAGGTAACCTTTTTTCAGTCATTCAAATAAGAAATTTCGTTATTTGTGTAAAAAGTGCTTCTAATAATCGTGCAATTGCAGTTTTAATACAACCCGGGTAAGTTATTAATTTGTCTTCAAGTTGAATGAACTTCATTTCTTCATTTTATGTACCGGTGTTGATATTGCCACTGTTAACGGTTTTACATCTTTTTTTTTCTAAGCGGTATTTAATTTGAAATAGGACTTACGTGTTTTCTTATTAAATTTGTTGAAAATAATGTATTATCTCACGAAATTGGTTTTTACGTGGCTTGTTTTGAGGTGCACTGAGTGTAATTTACTGTCAGATTATTTTTGACAGTTAATGATGTGTTGGAGCGTGGGCTACGACTTGTGCAGGGAACGAATTTACCTACATGTTGATAATCTATTTATTACTACCAGGTGGCTGTAGTATCGTTAATTAAAAAAGATAATTATATACAGTGTGTTTTTTACTTCCCGAGAGTAAGCTAAGGAAGTATTATAACCCAGAAAACGAAAACATTGGTCCAAGCTTGTTTCGACAGAACTTCCCTCGCAACTGAAATACTATTAAATTTTTATGAGATCGGCTATAAGTTGAAATACTTACACATATGTGTGATGTGTGCAATGTTAAAATAAATGTAAAGAAGCATTCTACGCTTATGTTTCAAATTTTGTGATGACGTCATCCACATTTTTTCAAAAACACGTATACCGACTTAGTAATATGGTGCAGTGTAATACTAATAATAACAGTATTGTATTCCCAAATTTTCTGGGAAAATTGAATGTGTCGTTCCTGATTTAATTAATAAAATAAATTGACACATTTATTTAATTCTTTTGAACCACCTGTTAAAGCAAATCTAAAAAATCGGGACGGCAGACAGACGGACAGACAGACCGACGGAAACGGGAGACCTATTTCTTCGGACTGTAGGGGTCATGGATAATTTTCTGTTGTACATAAATAATATATTTGAATTTTATTTTTTTTCTTAGTCAGAGAAAACGTCGGAAACCGAACGAGTACCGAAGGGCTGTGCCAAATTATCCCCAGGTGCACTTGATTCTTCACCTTGTTTTTTTATTCCTAGACGTATTTTTTTAGTCATCATTTTCACCATCTTATCTGTTGGAATAACACAACCGCCTAGATTCTTTAGAATATTCTGAGACAAGAATTGTTTGTCATACATTTTCTGGATTAAGTCTTTTCTTCATCAAATTTCTTTTAGAAATAAATAGCTCACAGGGGGCATTTGACTGGCGAAAGCTTAGACCAATAAGGATAAATTTTGGTAGATTAATATACATATACGTAAATTGGCTCCTATGAAACTCTCAGGTTCAGACAATTTGTGCCAGAATAAATCAATCTTTAATATTTTTTGTGTTCAGGCGAAATTATATTTTTCCTGCAAACATAAACTACATTTTGAATCAATATGTTGTAAATCCATATTATTAGTAATTCTAGGCAGATTTTGAAAAAACTCAAATAAAGAATGTGGTAAAGAATTGTTTTAGCAAAGATTTTAAAAGCACTGAGCTGTGGTAATATTGGGTCCTCAAAATGAAAATTGCATCGTATTTGATTCCACAAAGGATTAGAAACTTCTCCTACATCTATTCCAATTATTTATTACTAAAATCATGTGAATTTAAATATCTCGTTACATCAATACCTAAATGCATATTCTTGACATAAATATAAATAATTTGAGGAGTCATTTGGGACAGTTCATTGAGCCTAGTCACTTTTGACAAAATAAACTCTAGCAACAAATAATAAAGATGAACTACAAGATCTTTCAAAGCTTGAGCAATTATTTTTGAAGAATGGCACTTATGGTTCTTGCAGTTGTGTGTAAAAAATAAGTTTAATACCTCCCACGAATTATGAATTCTATCAACGATGTCATTCAAAGATAACCAGCTGGTTTGTGAAGGAGGCAGATTTTTCAAGATATTATTAATGTTGCAAAAAACTTGGAGTTCTTCATAATAGCTTTGTTTTTTGAGCTCTTCTTAAGTTTATTGTTGCATCCATCTGTTGCAAAACCAATCACATTGTTTTTTGGAAGATGCAATTCTTCCAGGATGGTTGTCAAACATTTATAAAGATCAGCTGGAGTCTCTGGATTGGCAGTCTCAAAATATTCCTTCTTAGAAACAAACCTCTAACAATCCCAAAAAACTTGACGTTACTTTTTCATTCCAAATATACTAAACACAAACACACATGGTCTTTGCGAATCCTCGATCTGTTGATTCATCTATCAATTTGCTGAATTTAACTTTTTCTAAAATATCTCGTAGCTTTTAACTTCATTAGTTTCTTAAAAAATATCACTAATCTTAGGTTTATTGTTTTTTATTATCTTAGTTTCATTTCTAATGTGTCTTGTAAAACCTGGATGATTCTTTATCACTCTTATATTCTATTTGGTTATTTTAAAATTACCACCAACCAAAATACCATATTTCAGAAATGCAGTGCCTCCTGGGGGATCGCTGTATAAAAAGTAAATATTAGTGCGTAATTTTCTGGCAAGTAAATTGTGCAACGTGGAAATTTCTGTAAAAATTATTGGAAAACCTGGAAAAGTCAGCAAATTTTACTATCGCAAATCGCTGGGAACCCTGAAAAATGATGACGTTATCAGAAAATTGTGTAAAGAAAAATCTCAACTCGGAAATGCTGGATATATTAATTTTTTTTGGGTAGTATAAGCAGATATATTGTGATTAGCAATTTACCAAGCTTACAATAACTTTAAACCGTGCAATATTTCAAAGCATTCGGTTTTGCAGTTCCTGATTTAATCAATAAAATAAATTAGTGACGTTATCAATTTTTTGGAGGGATAAGCAAATCTATTTTGATTAAAAATTTACCATGGTTATGACAACTTTAAAATATACACAAGATTTCAAAGCATTCAGTTTTGCAGTGTCAAAATTAAATTGCAAAATGTTTTTATGTAATTTTAATTTTTTCAAAAAATCTGGACGTTTCGGGGAAAAACTCAAGACGGATTCATAAACAACACAAAAAGCATTGTATACAATTAAAACCCATTTACTATATACAATTTTGAGGTAACGTCATCAGATTATTGGTGGGAATGACTAAACAAAGTTTAGTTAGGGTTTAACTATCTACATGATAATCATAATACACATATAAAATTTAACAACAATTGGTCCAATAGTTTCGGAGATCACCTGTCTAACAAAAATCGTTCCAAACAACGCACAGACAGACAGACAGACGGAAACGGGGACCCATTTTTTCGTACTCTAGGTGTCATGACCCATCGAGAAAATATGAAAGCAACTAGTCGCCCGATGGACTCGATTACTATACTTCCTTAGCTATGATACTCGGGAAGTAATAAAGGTATATTTAGCAAAATGCCGAAGTCGGATACGTGTTTTGGGATAGCGGCAGTATTAAAGAATCAAATAATTCCCCTTGTATTTTCCAAAGGGAAAGACATTACAGGAAAATTGTACTAATATTGCATAAAAAATGGTCGAAAGCTATATCGACAGAATTTCCCTCGCCCTTGAAGTGTAACCGGACAAATCCAGCTCTTTAGAAAAATTATAAAATTTGATTTACGATTTTTGTTTTGTGATACCCTCTGTAACGTAAAAACTAACGACATAAATAACGCCTCCGCAACCCCTACGCCGTGCTGACAATGTAAAATATGTTTAAAGCACTTAAATAACGGAATAAAATGTCTTTCAGCACTAGGTAATAGCAATCTGAAGCTCCCGTGTTTATTTATGTTTATACATCGAAAGAATGTCACGTAGAAATTAGTTTGATCGAATGAGTTTGTCTTCTCAAAACAGATGACTAAAATTATTAATTAAACTACGAGTACAGTCAAACAAAATGATCTGAATATCATAATTCTTATTTCATCATTATAAAAAATGTCAATGCAACGATAAATCACAAGCAAAAACTCATCATATTTTGCACATTTTGGGTATAATTTATTGTCAACATTTTGAGTCATCAATTTTTTTGAAGGGGATAAGCAAATATATTTTGATTAAAAATTTATCATGGTTATCATAACTTTAAAACATCTGCAAGATTTCAAAGCATTCAGTTTTGCAGATTCAAAATTAGATTGCAAAATGTTGTTTTATAATTTTGAGTTTTTTTTTCCAAAAATCTGAACATTTCGTTTAAAAACTCAACACGGAGTTATAAGCTGCATGTGTAGGACTATGTTAATTCATACAATTTAAAATCCATTTACTATGTACACCTTACACTTTACGCATCTCGGCAAACCTTATCCGTGAATTTGTTTCATCCAAAATTTCAAAATTTATTTTTATAAAAATGTTTCCCATTGAAATTCCAGATAATGGCCATCGCCTCCGCCTCGACCATTGTCAAATTTCACGAATTCCCCTCCGGCAACGTCCTCCACAACTATCAGCCCGCGACGCAGATCGATGGCCCCATACGCAGCATCTCCTGGAGCAAAGACGGAAACTGGTTGGCCCTCGTTCCTAACGCAGGTCTCGCAGAGATCGTCAGCATCAAGGACCAGCTCAAGCTCATCCACACCATCCAGGGCATCGAAGAACCTTCATGCGCTTCCTTCCAGAATACCACGAAGAAGAACATTGCCATCGGCACGAAAAGTGGCCAAGTACTCATCTACGACATTAAAACAAGAGTCGTGAAGAAGAGGTTCCCCAGGACAACATCGGAGGTGAACAGAGTCGAATTTACTGCCAAGGATGGTCACTTAATAGCGGCTTGCCAAAACGGGGAAGCTTATCTCTACAGTAACACCCAGAACAGCCTATCCGGAACGTTCAAAATTCCGAGATCTCAAACCATAAGTGCGTTACGGACGAATCCGATTAAGAGAAATTACGTGGCGGCGGGAAGCAATGAGGGGGTAGTGGCGGTTTGGGATATATACGGGAATAAAAACAAGTTCTTTATTGGATCGCATAAGGCACCGGTAACGTCGGTTGCGTTTTCGCCGATTAGTTCGGATTTGGTGGTCTCAGCTGGTCTAGATCGACAATTTTGTTTTTACGACATCGCGGCAAATAAGTGCATTGGAAATATTTTTGTTGAGAACAGCATGACGAGCGTTGATTTTTCTCCTGACGGAAAATTTGTAGTAGCAGCGTCGCAAAAGGGGAACATCTACATTTACGACTCGAAGAATATCCAACAACCTGTTCATTCCTTTTTCGGACATAGTGGTCCCGTGGAACATTTATCGTTCAAAAAATGCGAGGACTATGAAAACAGCTTTAGTTTTTCTTGCGATGATAAAGAATCCGTCAGTACGGATGAGGTTCTGCGAAATAACGAGTCTTTTGCTGTCGACGCGATGGTCTTCGCTGAGTCAGCTAGATGTACTCCCCCGCAAATCTCTGTTCCCCCAGAAGATTCTTTCATGGCTGCCATGGGTCTTGACCAAAACAACACAGTCGAATCGTTCAAACAAGACGGTAGAGGATCAGATAGTAGCAAAAAATTCTTAATGCATAAATATACTCCGACGAACCCCTCTAGGCTCGTCCAGGACAGAGTCCAGAGCGAGACGAAAATTCCAATGACCTCTACTCCCGACATTCACGATCATGACATATTTCCTAAGATCTCTCCCATCGTTAGTTTAGGCTCACAGCCGACTTCTGAGCAGCTAAAAACCAGCATGGACAGTGTGGAAGACCTTGTGAAGAGTACCGTTAAAGAAGAATTGAGAGTTGTCTCTGGAGAGTTGAAGAATGACATGAAGTATTATTCTACGCATATTTTAGCACAGACGAGACAAATGTTTTTAGATTTGTTAATGTCGATGGTGAAAGAGTCTATTAAGGTTGAAAATAATTTTAACAGTTTACGACAAGAGTTAGTGTCGGAAAATACGCAAAACCCAAGCTCTCTGTTTGAAGAAAATTTGATGTTGAAGCAAAAAATTGCAGTTCTGGAGGAGGAGCTAGCGGTGCTGAAAAACAATCAAGTTAATCAGAATTTTTGATGTATTTTGTGTGTTTATTCTATTTTTAATAAATATTTCTTATAATTCTTTTATTACTAAAAAATTGTTGAAGCCTTTCTTGAAAATGGTTAAAAGCTGTGTTTGTGATTTCTTAATTTTTTTTTTTTTTTTCAGTATACATCGCACTTTCGGTAGATTTTGCATTATATTACAAGATTTCAGTCAAATCGTGATAAAGCGACTTTGTTTTGTCAAATGTTACCTATCAAAAATACTAGAGTGATTGTTGGAATTTTGAAAGTGGACGGAATCGCTGCTCTATATTAATAGAAATCAGGAACTATAGTTTATCGAGAGGCGGGCCCTAGACACGGGAATGATACTTTTGCCGAGATTTATATACTGTTTAATTTAGAATCATTTAATAAAACAAGCAATATTTTAATAAAATAATACTCCTAGACCCCCGTTTACAGGAACTCAATTAAATATCTATTGGCGATTAAATTTTTAACAAGGCGTTCAAGTACCACGTGACCAATTCTACGCCAATTATACGTCACTAAACACCTCCTTCAGTGCGTGATTAACTTAATGTCAGTTGAAATATTGTATAAACTGGCCTCTAGTATATTGTGATACTTGTTAGTTTATAATGCAAGGGATTATAGCATGAATGAAAGTTTAACGCATTATAAACGAATGTCATACGCTATTTTGTGATAATCGGACATATGTAGATTCACGTTTTATTAAATTGGTTAACAAAAGTCATACCAAATTTGCGTTTTCCCATTTTTTTTTAACAAATAAAATGGAAAAATTGGTTGCATACTTTACATATTTTAATTTTTAATTTGATATTTATGGTGTAAATCGACAGAGGCGCCCCCACAGGTCGGAAATGTTTTCATTCCTGACCGCTTACGCGTCATTAGTCACTATCATTACTCATTACTACTGACAGCTTTCAGGCTCAGACTTGTATCGTGCATCCATTGAATTGTTCACTTTCCAACCATTAAGTGGTTAAAAAAACTGTATGTTAACGACTGTTAAAAAACAAAATCCTGTCTTATAACGTAAAAGTTGATTAAAGTTTGCGACTTAAATTGTCATAATGAACCAAAGACGAATAGGATATTTCCTACCCAAAAGAAAACGTTTTAATCGTTTCAAATAATATGAATGATTTTTTATTTAATTTTTTATAATTAAATACTCCGTAATAACCCAAATATCCCACCAAAATGCGACAGGTGCAGAAACCTATAACCCAGGAAAGATTTAAAATTTTGCCTTGAGCTGTGATCGTTAACAAATGGAACACACACAGAGAAAAAGGAAAAAACTTAATCAAACATGGTGTGGTGGCAAATTTAAATTACTGACACTCGAGAAGGACATCTGACGAGAGTTGAATGTAAGTTCCTCGTCGCAATCTCGAGGATTTTACTCTAATAATAGGGGTGTAAAAATTTGTCACATATTATGGCTACACTAAACTCTGTTTTTCCAAAACAAACAGCTATTTTCAATATTAATTTAACTGATAATAGCTTTCAGTTTTTTTCTCTCAAAATGGATGAATGTTTAAAATTAGTCAACTGCCATAAATGAACTTTTTTAAATCTTAAGTGAACAGTTAAACTTTTGCTAAACTAAAGTGTTTTGCGTTAGCATCCCGATTATGATTTCGTTAGAACCATAAATGTTAAGAATTGTGACGTGAACACACTCTCTCGTTAAGGGGGGACTGGCCTCAAATGCGATTTATCTTTGTTTAAACAATTATTACCCTTAGGTAAAATTATAAACAAAATTACATACCAATTTTAACAAGATTCGTGTTTACACTCGCACCACCAAAACAAGAAATGAGGTAAAGATACCTTTTAAAATGTACCCTACATTCCAAACTCCCGAAACTACCTATACTTCCTTCTTATAAGATTTAGCAAACTATGTTTGAACGTATTAGAAGAAACACCTTCCAACCTTTCAACAGTCCTGCGGGAAATTTCAATTTCGGATTGTTTAGCAACTCGGATATTTGATTAGTTGGCATAGCACATGTTATTATTGTTTATGATTAATAAATCACGTTTATCAAAGAAAAAGTGAATAACAGCTGTTTTACTCTCGCCTAGATGTTTCTCATTAATTATCATTTGTTTCCATTTTGAAGATCATTTTTTTAAGATAAAATATATAGGTACTTTTTACGTACACTTTTATGGAGTTATAACTGTATGCATATTTTATGTCAGTAGATCAGATGACTGACAGTAAACATACAGGCAACAGTTACTTTTGTAATATAACAATAACTAGTTATCTGAAAGTACACAATGACAGTTCAGTTTTAAAAATGTTGTTGTTTCAAATAGGGTTTTACCTACTTATAGACACTTGGGAATTAGTCTTAGATTTCGGGAAAAACCTAAACATTAATGTTTTTCTATATCAGGTAGAGTGGAAATGTTATCAGATTCTCTCTGTCACTTACAAGTCTTTGATCAACGGTGCATCATTTGCCTCTTGAAATGGGCACAATCTAAATAGTACATTATTACGCGTATTTCATAAGACGATTATTGTAGCACGAATGAGTGCCACAAGTCGTCTTATGAAAAGAGTGTAATATACTATTTTTTCTACTTTGCATTGTAAATAAATTTTAAAAATATATTCTAAAAAAAATATTTTCGATTAGGGATTTTCGACAGGTAATAAAATCAACATTTTCGTGATCACTTAACACTTTCGACCACATTGCGACTGTCCGTATAACAACATTACCAACATATTCAAAGAAAAAATTACTGTTTTGCGTGCTATAATAAAATTATATATCATTATTGTGAAACGCATATGCGCTTCATAATGAAAATATATATTATTATTGACGCAAAGTAGAAAAAATATATTTCCTATCTATACATCCTTATCAGATTAGATACAGTCATTATGCTTGTTTTAAAACATAAACGGTGATTTACGAAAACACTCATAAACCACGAATGTATAAACAAAATGACGAAAGCGGATTGCATGTGTGATACCCCGAAAATCCCGCCAAAATTTGACATACAAACAAAATTTTAAAACCCACAAGAAATTCAAAAATCTGGCCGTAAACTGTGATCTTCAACAAAAGCGGAACCGTACGTTGCGTTTAATAATAATTATAATGAATTGTTATTGAACTCTCTTTTCGTGTGTACAACATAACTGTGTATTTGTAAAAATTTATTTCAAATTTACTTTTTTTACAGTATCCACTAAACCTGTAGATATTATCTTGCAATATTAAACAGTCTTTTAAGTGCTAATGGATAATGATACACAAATTTTAAGTCATTCGCATAGATATAAGTTTTTGCACTGTAGATAACTGATAACATCATTAAAGAAGATGACGAACAGCAATGGGCCTAGATTTGAGCCTTGGACTACTCCACTACTTACACGAAATAGCTGAGATGTACAACCATTGTACTCAACATATTGTTATTTAGCCATCAACAAAGACTTTACAATCACAAGTAAAACTAACTAAATTATCACATAATCTAAACTTTAATTTACACTGGAAAATCAGTGTTGTGTGATGTCAATATGGGAGATTTCAATTGCGTAGATACCGAGAGGTCGAAAAAGAAATTAGTCAAAGTTGGCCAAGCAGGAAAAGCCGTTTGTCTTAGTTTAAATGTAATCAAATGCAAATTACTTTTGTCAATGTGACGTTTATTGGAACATTATTTTAAACTAAGACAAACGGCTTTTCATGCATGGCCAACTTTGACTAATTTCTTTTTCGATCTCTCGGTATAAATGAATATAGAAATGAACTCCAAAAAAATATTGACGAATGCGTACTTTTATTGAGGTACCATTTTTTAAATTTATTATTTTAGATTTTTAATTTAGAAATTAGTATCGCTAGCACTAAGCTCTTCCTTTTGCTATTCAGGAATAGCTTGTCCGTTTTTATGGCTCTGACGTACTGACGTTCCGTGGTAACCATAAATATACAATAGGATTTTTATGGTAAATAGATTTAGATAATATATAGCTTTAAGATCGTGCAGGAGTTATTATAGGCAAGGTAAATTTTTAATCAAAGTATATATGTTTATTCCTCCAAAAAATTGATGACGTCATCTCAAAATTTTGCCGAATAAATTCTACCTAAAATGTGAAAATATGATGAGTTTTGACTTGTGTTTAAACATTGCATTCATATTTTTTAGATTTGCTTATGCAGGTAGCTAAAAAAAATGAACGAATCAATTTATTTTATTGATCATATCAAGGACGGCTTACTCCATCTTCTCGAAAATTTGGAAATGCATTACTGTTGTTATTAGCATTACATTGCACCAACTCAAGTTAATAAATGTGTTTTTGCAAAAATGTTGATGACGTCATCGCACTTTACAATTAATTTAACATTACAATACATATTATTTATTTTAGTTTATAAGGATTCTCATAAAAAATAAAATTCGCAAAATCAAATTTCATAATTTTTCGAAAATGCTGGATATGTTGTATTTCAGGTGCGAGGAAAGTTCTGTCGAAACAACCTTCCGACAATTTTTTATAGGTGAAGAAATCTAATCTCAGAGGTCCACTGCGTCATTATTTTTACTAATGTGAAATAATCTCAGGGGCAGCTAGTGTGTGTATTTTCAAAGAAGTTTAGAGACTTTCAGGGGATCTTTATTTATTTTTTTATAGCTTAATAAATCACAAGCTCCCCTTTTGATATTTTTTATAGACAGTGGAAGAATGTCAGGGTTTCTTATGTTTTTTTTTTCAATTTTAAAAAGTTTCAGGGTCCCCTTTGATCCTTGATTTGTTTTTTAAAAATGTGAAAGCATATCATATATATTTCACCAATTTCAAATTCTGTTAGTGTTAATAAAAAAATGTGAACACCCTTTGGCAAGGAAGATGAACAAAAAAGTTTAAATACATCATTTATAAAAGCAAAACAACCGAAAATACCATAATGCACATCTGATTCATACAACCTTCGTTCCTTTCGATTAAGCAATCAGGGGGTCAGGATTGTAAA